AAAAATGTAATGAGTTTTAGGGTATTGTAATTTGTATATATTAGAACACATTCATATTTCAAATATTTCTAAAGATGTGTGACATCAGCAGTGTTAATGAAGACTTGGATTTCTATGTGGTCTGGCTGGCGTGCAAATTGGGAGATATGGCCCAAGAAATATTACATTTTGAATATTTCAATTCGGATGTTCCTGCAAATGGTCAAAACTATTCAAAATATGTTCAAGATGCCATCAACTTTAATGCCGGAGCAAACTTATGCCGAAGATACTTATATGGTTCCTTCGGTCTTGAATTCTGTAGCCGAATGATCAAGGAAGACCTGAAAACATTCCTTATCGAAATACCACATATGCCAAGTGAATTGGTAACAAAATATGGGTTGGTGCAGGAAAGTGGTCTAACTCAAGAAGAAAATAATGCACATAAATAATTAAAATTAGTAAATTGTACCTTTGTAATAATAAATTTTTGTACATATTGGTTTGCGTTTTTGTTTTCATCCTTTACTCTTGGTTAGTTTCCCATATAAGCAAATAGTTGATAATTACAATGTTAGTTCTAGTTGAAAATGGGACGTGTTAACAACACTATAGATAAATTTGGTCGACAAAGAGTATATAATAAACATCAGTTCTTACGTTGTACACAGAGAAATGGGTTCAAGTTAACTTTTGATGGTCACTATGATATTGAAGGGAAGCGTCTATCAAATGTTGCAAAACCGATAGCAGATAATGACGTTAGTACCAAGAAGTTTGTGCTTGACAAAATTCGATTGTTTCATCAACAAATGAAATATGCATCAGATGATTTAGAAAAACGTATAAACGAAAGATTTAAGTGCACAGATAAAAAAATGGATGATATTGGAAACATCTATATAAGCAAAGATCTGGAGAATGATAAAAAAATACGTAATTTAGAACGATGGATGGAAAATAATGAAAAAAAGCTAATAAATATCGACAGAAGAGTTAATAACTTCATTTCTTCATCGAAATGGGAGCGTTAACAAAATAATAGATAATTTTGGTCGCCAGATGACAGATTTCAAATTTTAGGAGGTGCGTCGGGAATTGGATTTGTGCGAACACCCAATGATCAATTTAATTATGTGGGAAAGCGTTTGATGAATGTTGCAATATCGGAAACCAGTGATGATGCTACTACCCAACAATATGTGTTGACGGAGATCCATAAAGTGCGCCAAGAGTTAGCACAAACAATAAACAAAATATATCAGGCTATTCATGAAAGTTTGATAAGCGTTGATGACCGAATGCTACATTTGAAAATAAAATAAAAAGATATGATGCACAGGAAGAAAATATTGTGAAGAAAATAGCTGATTTGGAAAAGCGAATGAAACAGGATATGAAAATATTGTTGGGTGTTGAGAGGAAGGCTGATAGTATGATTGCAGCTAGCAAAGTAAGAATATGACAAAACCGCCCTTGAGAAAATGGATATTCATTATTTTTCAACAGTATTCACCATCGACCCCCACTTTCTCACCCGAAGCTCCCAGTATTTATACCCCCATATCTAAGTTAAAACTCATTAGTTTGTCTACACCTTCAACAGTTAAAGTTAAGAATCAGAAAAATGAATACTGCCGGTGCCAAACAGAAAAGCAGTCTATAACCAAGTTTGGTGAATTCTAATGCACTAATTGAAATATCGGACACACCGATTTCGTCTAGTCGCCCAAGTCAAACAATACCCATATCAGATGTTGTTATTGACTTATCAGATGTGCCAATCTACTCACCCCAAGAGCAAAGCGAAAATTTATCCTCGATAGTTAGCCAAGAAGAACAACGTTGGGATTTGAGTGATGAAGAATGGCAAACCCCGCGAAGATCATCAGCAATATTTTTGCAGGATTCTCCACCATCTTTTTCCCATGAGTCATTTGGCCACGAAGGACAACGATGGGATTTGGGTGAAGAAGAATGGCAAATTCCTCGAAGGTCATCATCAATATTTTGACGGGATTCTCCGCCACATTTTTCCGATGCTTCATTTAGCCAAGAAGGACAGCGTTGGGATTTGGGTGAGGAAGAAGAATGGCAAACCCCACAAAGGTCATCCCCAATATTTTTACATGATTCTCTGCCATCTTTTTCCGATGCTTCATTTAGTCAAGAAGGACAGCGTTGGGATTTGGATGAAGAAGAAGAAGAATGGCAAACCCCCCGAAGACCGCCATCAAGAATAATTATTCAAGATTCTCCACCATCTTTTTCCCCCGAGTCATTTAGCCTAGAAGGATCACATTGGGATTTAAGTGAAGAATGACAAATCCCATCATCACCATCTTTATTAGATTCACCACCGTACAGAAAATTTATGACTGTTTCCAAACTTTTAACTAACAATTTTGTACTAATACATATATTAAATCTGAAATAAAACCAAAAAATATCAAAAACTTGTTTATTTATAAGCCTTATATTTTACAACTAGGTATACACTTAAAACTAGTATACAGGGTGTCCCACGGTGGATGGCGTATTAGACGTTTATGGAGAACTGAAAAGCGGATCATTTTGAAAATTTGGCAACCGGGATAAATGACCGTGATCTACACTTTAAAAATATTTTTGTTTATGCGGTGTTGCCGCTTCTACTCTAAACCAGTGGCAACATCGCTATTTTAAATAAAACACCCCGCAGATTTCATGTGATATACCCTATACCTAAGTTCAACTGTTTTGGAAATATTGACAGTTGAAAATTGACTTTTTGCAACTTTGACAGGCTGTAAAACCTGAACGGGCACAGGCTTCTCCGTTCCTGTTTTAATTTGTTTAAAGTTTTTCTAAGTGCATCTGTAACAGCTACCAGTTTACGTTTTAAATCAAGTTCGTTATTCATGGTGTTGTCTTAGTACTGTGCACACATGAAATGAATCGCATACGTTTTTATTACACAAATATATAGCTGTCGAATCCTTTGCGGTATCTCCCTGAATTCAAATCACAATCTTTGTCTATAACGAGAAATCCATATTTATTGTTCCAACACTTGGAATACATCTCCTGGAATTGTGTGAATGTTACATCAGGAGAAACATGATCTGAGAAAATGTGTCTTAAATTCATTTCATCTTGTTTGAACATAATAATTAAGTTGGCATTATCACGTACAAGTTGTTTTGGGACTCGGGAATAGGTTTGTGCTAAGTAAAAAGCATCCACATTTTTATGTCTGCCCATACTAAAGTATGATCTTATTATATCTTGTTTTTCACACATGACGTCATCAAAAATGAAAACAGAGTTTGGTCTGGCATCCGATGGTTCCACAATGTTGGATGCATCAGTAAATGTGTAAAAACCCATCCCCTTGATAGGTGATAGAATTTTTCTCAAATACTCATATTTCGGTTGGTATAGGGACTTTGAATAGATGTAGACGTTCTCGAAACGTAATCCCGAAGGATGAATGAGCAGTGTGATCATAACATTAGTTTTCCCATAATTTGACGGTCCGATTAGCAAGCCGCGAATAGAACGCGGAAGCAAAGGGCCATGTCTCCGGTATTCCTTTTGCATATGTCCAGATCCAACTTTTTCATCAAAATTGTCGATATTAAGCTTTTGTTTTAGGTTAACGAAACGCATGTTTTTTCATACACGCAGTCGCGCACAAATAAATAAATATTATAACAAACTGTTCACGGTATTTATCATTTAGATGTCAATCGTCAAGCGAAGTGGACGTTCTCGTTATTCAAATAAGACATGATGTGGTATTGTAAACTCACTAATTAATAGTCTCCCGTTCGAGTTAAATATACCAGGAGGCTATCAGTACTGCGGTCCGGGCACGAAGGTTCTGAAACGTGTGGCACGAGGTGATAGAGGTATAAATCTCCTGGATTCTGCATGCAGAAAACACGATCTATCTTATCTGTATAATAAAGATAATTTAACTGCACGACATCAGGCCGACTACGAGTTGGAACAACGAGCTTGGGAGAGAGTGAAATCCAAAGACGCTAGTGTAGGCGAAACGGCTGCTGCTTGGTTAGTAACAAATATCATGAAAGGAAAACAGCAATTTGGGATGGGTGTATCGACTGTATTGAAGAAAAAGAAAAGGTCCCGCAAAGGAAAGCATCACAATGGTGTTGTAAAGAGGCCTAGCGCAAAACGGACAAGCAGACAAAAAGTGAAAAAAGTAGCGTTTGGATCAGCTGTGAGAAGACAAATTCGTTCAGAACTAATGAAAGCTGGAGGACGAAAATTTGTTAAAAAAAATTTCCTGCAAGCTTCTAAAATAGCTATAGCAGCTGCACGCAAGTCTGTGAAAGCAGCCGGTGGTAGGCGAAAGATTCGCACACCAAGAGTTCTACCCATACCCAAAGTTTGAGGAGTGTTACCGCTCATACCAATATTTGCAGGATTATCGGCGCTTGGATCTATTGCAGGAGGGTTCAGTGGGATAGTACGCGCAATAAAAACCGCGAAAAATGCCAATGCAAAGAAAACAGGAGCCACCTTACACCTTAATTCACGAGGAAGCGGATTGTATCTGAAGCCGTATCGAACGGGGCTAGGATTATTCATGCACAATAAATCAAAAAACTAATCGAATCCCAACCCCAAAGAGCACTATCCAATATCGATATAGAGGGCTACGCATTAAAAATGAAAATACCATATTTTAGAGGTGTATTTATGAGAGACACACTACCTATACATGGCGCACGACGCTGTGAGACAGCAATTATTAATTTGGATAGTATGCGAGGTGTAGGGACACATTGGGTGGCCTATAGAAAATATAGGGGGAAAGTAACATACTATGACAGTTTTGGTGATTTACCACCACCTGTTGAATTAGTGCGCTATCTAAAAACAGGACCAGAGGCTGCAAATAATATTTACCATACGTATGACCGCCAACAACAATTTGGAACAGTCTGGTGTGGACACTTGTGTTTAAAGTTTCTCTCGAAATCTTAGGCACAAAATCACCACCAACCATGTCTATAACGCCACAGATTGAGCGTGATGGTTATAAAAAGATGGCATCACCACTAAAAGCATTCTCCCGATCGGGTGGATTACTCAAAATGGCATCTGAGCAATTGGGTGAGATGCCAAAGGAAGTAATGATAGTGTGTGCACCCAAAGAAATCGCGTTGATCTGGGACAAGTTACCTGAAGCTCTACAAAACGATGTGGATATATTAAAATATCAATATTGTGGCGAACATTACAATGAAGAAGTTTGGAATAACTGTGATGTAGCTGATGGACCCGCCCCGAGAGGATTATTTTGTTGTTACTGCAAGACAGATGATGTAAAGATAACCACGAAAAATTCCACACAGTCAACTGAAAGACGTGGAAGACGACAAAGCCTTAACGATCTAGCTTGTTGTTGCAATCCGCAATAAAATAGTCGCATAATTGATTTGATAGTCAGTCATGTCCTTCACATTCACATTAACAGGACACAGCAGTGTCTTAAGCGGATAAAACAAGCCGATATGGATTGGCTCTTCTCGGATTTCACACATACAACTCTATTTTCATCGTTGACGAAAGCAACAATGCCTTTGAATACAGTAAAAAAGATAGTGCCAAAATTTCGCGTCTAACTATTCCTCCTGGAGCATACGAAATCGTTGAAATCGAGCATGGTATAATTGCAGCGTTGCGAGCATCCTCGAAAGATGATGATACTAATCTATTTTCGCTGAAAGCCAATAACAATACATTGAAATGCGAATTGAAATCCAAGCTCAATATCGATTTCGGCGTATCGAATAGTATCGGTAAGATGTTAGGATATGAGAGTGACCAGCTGGAAAGTGGTGTGAAATATGAATCCGTATTTCCCGTAGACATTATGAAAGTGCGAATTATACACTAGAATATCACCTCGGGAGCATACCTGAACTCTCGCGAGTGTCACACATTATTCGAATTTGACATAGAAGTTGAACCCGGTTACAAAATTACAAAAGAACCTCAAAACAATATTTATTTGCCCATAAAGCCTGAAGGACGTCAGTTCATCGACAACATCACATTGCGCATCTTGGATGATAACGGTCACCTCATAGACTTTCGAGGAGAGAAAATTATTGTGAAATTGGAATTGAAGAAAATTGTTGTATAACAATGGGATTTTGCTACAACCGTCAATTGAACAGATATCAATCTATCCGAAAATCTGTTGAAAAACCTAATAAAAATAGGCGAGATACCACGGGAGGATTCACTCTTAGCTCGAACTCGAGATCGACAACACAGTTGCAGCAACTGTCCGCAGAAGATCGAAGCCTTTTGAAATCAATCTGTGGTTTGAAATTGAAGCCTAGAAAGCAAAGATGATGACCAGCAGCGACAAGATTGACGTCTTTACCGGCCCCATTCTCGATAATTCCATAGTCAGTTTACAAGAGCATACATATAAACCGTATGGTTCTCCAGTTTTCCAAAACTCTGATGAAATTCGCATGCCAGTCCATTTCCAAGATATAATACTGGACATATCCGAAAGCTATATCTATATCGAGGGAATTTTAAGCCCAAAGATCCCGCTAAAAAGTGCTGCCTATCCAATAATGCCCTAGCCTTTCTGTTCGACGAAATTCGATATGAAATGGGTGGTGAGCATGTAACAGTTGTTCGAAAACCTGGAATTACAACGGCCCTTAAAACAATGGTGTCATTTGGTGCTTCACAGTTGAAACACCTGCTAGCTTGTGGTTGTGGGCTGGCTGAAGATAAACAGCATCTCATCGATTCCACAAGTCACGTGTTTTCTGGTAAATTGCCTCTAAAGTATTTAATGGGTTTTGCCGAGGACTATACGAAGAGAATCTTCAACGTCAAGCAGGAGATTATATTGATAATTGCTCGTACCTTCGCCAACTGTTATATCGGTGAAGTGGAAGGAGACATCACACTCGACAAAATTGAATGGAAAATTCGTCATATCATTCCCATCGATAATCATAAGTTGAAAATAATGTCACGCATGAATAAGGGGGGCCAAAGTATCAATATTCAAATGGCTTACCGCAAATGGGACCTTTACGAACTTCCTACTTTGCATGAGACTTCAGCCGATATTTGGACTTTAAGAACTAGCAACAGTTTGGAGCGACCACGCTTTCTTATCATCGGTTTCCAAAAAAACGAGAATTGTGATGAGAAAGAAAAATACGCCACAGAATTTACTACGGCTGATGTGAGCGACATTCGCTTATACCTGAATTCCTCGGTATATCCATATGAAAGATGGAATCTAGAATTTTCAAAGAAACTGTATGCGCCAGCATATTACAACTTAGAAAATTTCCAAAGCAGTTACTATGGACGTGAGATGAACGAGCCAATGTTCGATTTTGCAGAGTATTTACAAAATCCTGTGTTTATTATCGATTGCAGCCGACAACCAGAAGCCATGAAGTCCTCCACAGTGCATGTGAAAATATAATTTCAAACAAGAAAGACCAAATTTCCAAAAGACACTAAAGTTTATGCATTAATAATTCATGACACTTATTTTAGTTATAATATGTTAAATGGTTCTGTAGCAAATAGATCACTGTATTAGTTTTTAAGTTCAGTTAGAAACAGATATAATTTATGTAATTTTTTATTTATTTAAATAATAAACGCATTTATAAAACACAGAAGTTTAAATCGATATTAGATCACGTGTGAATTGGGTGGGCGTTAGTTTGTACTTGAGATGTATAAGAGTGTGGGGTGGTGGTATCGACATTATAATATTGAAACGTTTGACTGAGAAGTCATTCCTATCACCGTCATCATCATCATCATCATGGCACAACCTGAAAGACCTGTGAGGCTTATCCATTTTCAGTGCCGAGACGGAGCGTAACTATGACGATAGGGATTTTTTACCAATGATGCAAGACTTGCGGGACATGGAGGACTTGCAGGATGAAGAAGATGCTCGTAGTCGAGTGGAGCCGGACTCGAGCAACGACTGGCCGGAACCAGTTCCGAAACCGGAAGATTGCTCAGGTCCCGCAGACTCAACTACTGGGTGAATTATCCCACAAAGTCAGTAGTTGTACCCTAATTTATGATGTCGAATGCTATAATCCCCGGAAATGAAATGGTCCTTTTTAGGACCTCAAAAAGATTCATCGTAGTTAGTTGATCATAACTTTTTATCCATATATTGTTGGAGAAGTTGTGTGCGCTCATATGTACAAACATAAATAAATTGTGCTTAGTGTGTGGTTAAACAAAACACGTGTTGCCTCGCCTACTCCAACAGATAATTCTAAGAGTGATCACGTGGTTTTTAACTAATAAGTGACTCATCTTAACCACAAAAAATAGTTTATCAGTCTTACAGATAATTCTAAGAGTGGTCACGTGGTTTTTAACTAATAAGTGACTCATCTTAACCATAAAAAATAGTTTATCAGTCTTACAGATAATTCTAAGAGAGGTCACGTGGTTTTTAACTAATAAGTGACTCATCTTAACCATAAAAAATAGTTTATCAGTCTTTCAGATAATTCTAAAGGTGGTCACGTGGTTTTTAACTAATAAGTGACTCATCTTAACCATAAAAAAATAGTTTATCAGTCTTTCAGATAATTCTAAGAGTGGTCACGTGGTTTTTGACTAATAAGTGACTCATCTTAACCATAAAAAATAGTTTATCAGTTCTTACAGATAATTCTAAGAGTGGTCACGTGGTTTTTAACTAATAAGTGACTCATCTTAACCATAAAAAATAGTTTATCAGTCTTACAGATAATTCTAAGAGTGGTCACGTGGTTTTTAACTAATAAGTGACTCATCTTAACCATAAAAAATAGTTTATCAGTCTTACAGATAATTCTAAGAGTGGTCACGTGGTTTAAACTAATAAGTGACTCATCTTAACCATAAAAAATAGGTTATCAGTCTTCCAGATAATTCTAAGAGTGGTCACGTGGTTTTTAACTAATAAGTGACTCATCTTAACCATAAAAAATAGTTTATCAGTCTTACAGATAATTCTAAGAGTGGTCACGTGGTTTTTAACTAATAAGGGACTCATCCTTACCATAAAAAATAGTTTATCAGTCTTACAGATAATTCTAAGAGTGGTCACGTGGTTTTTAACTAATAAGTGACTCATCTTAACCATAAAAAATAGTTTATCAGTCTTACAGATAATTCTAAGAGTGGTCACGTGGTTTTTAACTAATAAGTGACTCATCCTTACCATAAAAAATAGTTTATCAGTCTTACAGATAATTCTAAGAGTGGTCACGTGGTTTTTAACTAATAAGTGACTCATCATAACCATAAAAAATAGTTTATCAGTCTTTCAGATAATTCTAAGAGTGGTCACGTGGTTTTTAACTAATAAGTGACTCATCTTAACCATAAAAAATAGTTTATCAGTCTTTCAGATAATTCTAAGAGTGGTCACGTGGTTTTTAACTAATAAGTGACTCATCTTAACCATAAAAAAATAGTTTATCAGTCTTTCAGATAATTCTAAGAGTGGTCACGTGGTTTTTAACTAATAAGTGACTCATCTTAACCATAAAAAATAGTTTATCAGTCTTTCAGATAATTCTAAGAGTGCTCACGTGGTTTTTAACTAATAAGTGACTCATCTTAACCATAAAAAATAGTTTATCAGTCTTACAGATAATTCTAAGAGTGGTCACGTGGTTTTTAACTGATAAGTGACTCATCTTAATCATAAAAAATAGTTTATCAGTCTTACAGATAATTCTAAGAGTGGTCACGTGGTTTTTAACTAATAAGTGACTCATCTTAACCATAAAAAATAGTTTATCAGTCTTACAGATAATTCTAAGAGTGGTCACGTGGTTTTTAACTAATAAGTGACTCATCTTAACCATAAAAAATAGTTTATCAGTCTTACAGATAATTCTAAGAGTGGTCACGTGGTTTTAACTAATAAGTGACTCATCTTAACCATAAAAAAATAGTTTATCAGTCTTACAGTTAATTCTAAGAGTGGTCACGTGGTTTTTAACTAATAAGTGACTCATCTTAACCATAAAAAATAGTTTATCAGTCTTACAGATAATTCTAAGAGTGGTCACGTGGTTTTTAACTAATAAGTGACTCATCTTAACCATAAAAAATAGTTTATCAGTCTTACAGATAATTCTAAGAGTGGTCACGTGGTTTTTAACTAATAAGTGACTCATCCTTACCATAAAAAATAGTTTATCAGGCTTTCAGATAATTCTAAGAGTGGTCACGTGGTTTTTAACTAATAAGTGACTCATCTTAACCATAAAAAATAGTTTATCAGTCTTTCAGATAATTCTAAGAGTGGTCACGTGGTTTTCAACTAATAAGTGACTCATCTTAACCATATAAAATAGTTTATCAGTCTTACAGATAATTCTAAGAGTGGTCACGTGGTTTTTAACTAATAAGTGACTCATCTTAACCATAAAAAATAGTTTATCAGTCTTACAGATAATTCTAAGAGTGGTCACGTGGTTTTTAACTAATAAGTGACTCATCCTTACCATAAAAAATAGTTTATCAGTCTTTCAGATAATTCTAAGAGTGGTCACGTGGTTTTTAACTAATAAGTGACTCATCTTAACCATAAAAAATAGTTTATCAGTCTTTCAGATAATTCTAAGAGTGGTCACGTGGTTTTTAACTAATAAGTGACTCATCTTAACAATAAAAAAATAGTTTATGAGTCTTTCAGATAATTCTAAGAGTGGTCACGTGGTTTTTAACTAATAAGTGACTCATCTTAACCACAAAAAATAGTTTATCAGTCTTTCAGATAATTCTAAGAGTGGTCACGTGGTTTTTAACTAATAAGTGACTCATCTTAACCATAAAAAATAGTTTTTCAGTCTTTCAGATAATTCTAAGAGTGGTCACGTGATTTTTTACTAATAAGTGACTCATCTTAACCATAAAAAAATAGTTTATCAGTCTTTCAGATAATTCTAAGAGTGGTCACGTGGTTTTTAACTAATAAGTGACTCATCTTAACCATAAAAAATAGTTTATCAGTCTTACAGATAATTCTAAGTGTGGTCACGTGGTTTTTAACTAATAAGTGACTCATCTTAACCATAAAAAATAGTTTATCAGTCTTACAGATAATTTTAAGAGTGGTCACGTGGTTTTTAACTAATAAGTGACTCATCCTTACCATAAAAAATAGTTTATCAGTCTTTCAGATAATTCTAAGAGTGATCACGTGGTTTTTAACTAATAAGTAACTCATCCTAACCATAAAAAATAGTTTATCAGATTTACAGATAATTCTAAGAGTGGTCACGTGGTTTTTAACTAATAAGTGACTCATCCTTACCATAAAAAATAGTTTATCAGTCTTACAGATAATTCTAAGAGTGGTCACGTGGTTTTTAACTAATAAGTGACTCATCTTAACCATAAAAAATAGTTTATCAGTCTTTCAGATAATTCTAAGAGTGGTCACGTGGTTTTTAACTAATAAGTGACTCATCTTAACCATAAAAAAATAGTTTATCAGTCATTCAGATAATTCTAAGAGTGGTCACGTGGTTTTTAACTAATAAGTGACTCATCTTAACCATAAAAAATAGTTTATCAGTCTTACAGATAATTCTAAGAGTGGTCACGTGGTTTTTAACTAATAAGTGACTCATCCTTACCATAAAAAATAGTTTATCAGTCTTACAGATAATTCTAAGAGTGGTCACGTGGTTTTTAACTAATAAGTGACTCATCATAACCATAAAAAATAGTTTATCAGTCTTTCAGATAATTCTAAGAGTGGTCACGTGGTTTTTAACTAATAAGTGACTCATCTTAACCATAAAAAAATAGTTTATCAGTCTTACAGATAATTCTAAGAGTGGTCACGTGGTTTTTAACTAATAAGTGACTCATCTTAACCATAAAAAATAGTTTTTCAGTCTTTCAGATAATTCTAAGAGTGGTCACGTGGTTTTTAACTAATAAGTGACTCATCTTAACCATAAAAAATGGTTTATCAGTCTTACAGATAATTCTAAGAGTGGTCACGTGGTTTTTAACTAATAAGTGACTCATCTTAACCATAAAAAATAGTTTATCAGTATTACAGATAATTCTAAGAGTGATCAAGTGGTTTTAACTAATAAGTGACTCATCTTAACCATAAAAAATAGTTTATCAGTCTTACAGATAATTCTAAGAGTGGTCACGTGGTTTTTAACTAATAAGTGACTCATCTTAACCAACCATATAAAATAGTTTATCAGTCTTACAGATAATTCTAAGAGCGGTCACGTGGTTTCTAACTAATAAGTGACTCATCTTAACCATATAAAATAGTCTATCAGTCTTACAGATAATTCTAAGAGTGGTCACGTGGTTTTAACTAATAAGTGACTCATCTTAACCATAAAAAATAGTTTATCAGTCTTTCCGATAATTCTAAGAGTGGTCACGTGGTTTTTAACTAATAAGTGACTCATCTTAACCATATAAAATAGTTTATCAGTCGTTCATATAATTCTAAGAGCGGTCACGTGGTTTTTAACTAATAAGTGACCCATCTTAACCATAAAAAATAGTTTATCAGTCTTACAGATAATTCTAAGAGTGGTCACGTGGTTTTTAACTAATAAGTGACTCATCTTAACCATAAAAAATAGTTTATCAGTCTTACAGATAATTCTAAGTGTGGTCACGTGGTTTTAACTAATAATAAGTGAATCTTCTTAACCATAAAAAATGGTTTATCAGTCTTACAGATAATTCTAAGAGTGGTCACGTGGTTTTTAACTAATAAGTGACTCATCTTAACCATAAAAAATAGTTTATCAGTCTTACAGATAATTCTAAGAGTGGTCACGTGGTTTTTAACTAATAAGTGACTCATCCTTACCATAAAAAAGAGTTTATCAGTCTTTCAGATAATTCTAAGAGTGGTCACGTGGTTTTTAACTAATAAGTGACTCATCTTAACCATAAAAAAATAGTTTATCAGTCTTACAGATAATTCTAAGAGTGGTCACGTGGTTTTTAACTAATAAGTGACTCATCCTTACCATAA